TGGGCACACTTTCCCTCTCGCAGGTGGGGAAACTGAGGCACAGAAGGTGTCAGGTGCCAGGCTGAGGTCCCATGGCCAACCGAATCCCTGGGGCTGGGATGTGGGCCCGAGCCTGTCCTGAGTCCCCGAGCCCAGCATGCCTGGGCTCTTGCTCTGTGGCATGAGAAGCCTCCTCCATCCAAATAAACATTTGCAAGAAGGCAGGAGTGTTCCCCAGAGGAAGCGAGTGTTCGTCCCCTCGGCCACCTCTGCAGGAGACCTTGACGGGCACCACTTCCCACTCCAAGCACAGGGCAGAGAGGGCTCGAGTGCTCACGCCCATCACTTCAGTGCTGCCCCCAAGACAGGAGGAGGGAGAGGCCTGGCTGGGGCCAGGTGGGATCGAAACAACGCGTCCTCCTTGAAGTCCCCTGTGCCTCCTCACCCCATCATGTCTTCTGGTCTCGACGTCCTGTGGCCCTCATCACACTTTGGCTGAAACCCAGAATGCCTCTGTGGCCCTCAAAGCCGTACACCCAGCCTCCCACTTCCCCGAACTCCTCCCTGCCTGTCGCTGCTCCAGCCACGCGGCATTTCCACTGTTCCTCCAACCTGCCCCCTTCCAGGGCCTTTGCACGGGCTCTTCCCTCCCATAACTATTCCTTTCACAGGCCCACCACAGCCTCCTCTCAGTTCCCAGCCGAAAGGCCCTCCCCAGAGTCTGTCCTTGTCCCCTGAGCTGCTGTGGCTCTCAACATGCAGCCTTACTGGGCATCACGTGGCCCCGTCAGGCTTGGCTTCCCTGGCCCCCTGGCAGACACAGCTAGGGCTTCTGGGGGCCCCAAGAATATCTTAATGTCTTTTAAAATCAGAAGAAAATTAGTGACTCTTAATTCCGTCTGGTTTATATTCATCTTTATACCAACACGCCAAAAATAGAATTTCTACTATTCTTTTTCACCAAGGAGGGGCCCGCGCATCACGCGTGGTGCTGGTGACACTTTGTGTGTGGTGTCCCCTGAGCGAGAGCTTCCTGGCGCAGACGCTGTGCTCCATCCCCCGTTCCCAATGCCACCACGGCACATGGCACACACACAGGGGGCACACGAGGACTCGTGTATGGGCCAATGCCAGCACCTGTGGCCACCGGGGAAGCTGTGTCCGCAGCTCCCCCCCCGGCTCCTGCAGAGGGCACCGTGGTGTGGCTGCCGGGACCACTGTGGTCACACTTCCCATGGCCTTGAGGGGGACCCTGGCCTGGAGCTCATGGAGCACAGTGCATGCGAGAGGAGTTGGAGTTGGGGAAACGAGCTGGGCCCCCCGCGGGGCCTACTCCAATTGTGGGAGCCCCGAGCTCACACTGCCCAACCGGATGGCTGCCGCGGTGCCAGCCGGGGCCGTGAGGACCCACTGAGGCTGGATGGAAAGCTCTGAGGCCCCAGAACCCAGTGATGGAGAAGGGAGGCGGGACCTCGGGAGAGGGACACGTGACCACACTGCCATGGGCTGGGTGGTAGCCCCAAAAGATCCATCTGTGTCCTGATTCCTGCAATCCGTGGCTGCGACCTTCCTTGGAAAAAGGGGCCCCGCAGATGTTAGTAAGTTGAGGATGCAGAGAGGAGGCAGTCGTCCCGGCTGTCTGGGGGGATCCTCAAGCCAATGCCATGTCCTCGTCAGACAGACACGCAGGGAGAGCCGGGAAGGCCGTGTGCAGCTGAGGCAGAGGCTGGAGTGCAGAGGCCACAAGTCCAGGATGCCTGGAGCCGCTGGAGGCTGGACGAGGTTGGGGGGAGCCCTCCTTGGAGCCTCTGGCGGATCCCAGCCCTGCCAACACCCTGGGTTTTGGACGTCTTCCCTCCAGAACTGGGAGAATAGATTCCTGTTGTTTCAAGCCCCCCAGTTTGTGGTGATTTGTTCCAGCGGCCCCAGGACACCCACATGCTCACCTTCCCCCAGAGATCTGAGCATAGGGCAGGACTCAAAAGGTCAGTGCACGTCTCCTGCACAGATGACCCCGTGGCCACCGCCATCCCCCCACCCAGCCTCCAGCACAGTCAGCAGATTGCTGTCACCAGGCAACGGGGGCGGAAGCAGAGGGAAGGGACAGCCCGTGTGCCTGGCCATGGGGAAGCTGAAGTTCGACATCCAGCTCCCAGAGGCAGGGCTTGGGCGCCCAGGAGCAGGAGGGTGACCACGGCCTGAGCACGTGGCCCAGGCGCTCAGCCTGGATTCAGGGACCTCCAGGATTGGGGAAGGACACAGAGGGTCAGAGGTGGGGCCAGAAACTCTGTTTCTCCAGCAGTCCTGGGAGGTTCCAGCCAGTGAGCCCAGGCTTTGGGGTTCAAAATCCAGTTCCTAGAACTATTAGCTAGGGGTCTCTGAGTCAGTTCTTTCACTCGCTGTGCCTCACAGTGGGCAGGACTGAGAGGACAGATGAGAACTTGCTCAAAGGGGACACGTGCATACTGGCCCTTCTACCTTCCTGCTCTTAATAGGGCCACGGGTGCAAATAAATCAGTACCTACAGTTTCACAGCAACGGACACTGGGCCCTTTGTAAGAGAGACAACTGGGAGCAGTGGAGACTGCGGCCTCAGTGCCTGCTACAGCCAAGAGCAGCCATGCACAGATGGGTCTGGGGTGGCCGAGTCTGCCGATTTCTCAAGAGAAGCCAGATTTGGGGAGGTTTTCTTCACCCCAGTTTTCTGATTTTCAAAAACACATGGGCAATGAATTCATATCTTTTTTTAAAAAGGTATAAACACTGTGTGGAGGAATAAGACTCAGTTTGCAGTCACAGAGGGCCCTCCGGTGTGGGTTCTGGTCTTCAGCCTGGAAAATAGAACAAAAGCTCAGTTGCGCATCAGGACCACGCAGGGGGTGTGGTGGCGATGGTAGGGGATGGAACTTGTTAGGAACGCCGCTCCTCTGAGGCCCCAGGGGAAGAACCAGCAGCGAGCCTGTCCAAGCAGGGGCTGCGATTCAAACAGCATCCACGGGGTGGGAGGGCGGACCCCAGCGCACTCCAAAGCGGAAAGTAGCCCAGATGCCACACCACCAAGCTGCCCGGTGCCCGGGGAAGTGCCCTCAGCCAGGCTGGGCCCCAACCACAGCCCCCTGTGAGCTGGACAATGCCGGCCCTGGGGCTGGCCTTGCTTTAAAGATTGGGATATGCTCCCCCCTCCCGGCTTTTCTCTCTTGTGCCTCTGTTTTATTGGGATGACTAAATCTTTCAACTATGTTAGCAGTAAACACAGCTAATTTACCCCTGCCTCTTTGAAACAGCTGCTGACAGCTGCACTGTAATTCAATCAAGGGTCTTTGTAGTCAAGCCTACCAAGTTCACGTTTGTTGTTTGGTTCCGTCTCTCTCCTGCCCCGAGCCTCCACACAGCTGCACCAAATATCCACACATGCCCACTTTGCCCCAGGGCTTAGCAGAGAAACGGGGCATTCACAGTGAGGCAAATGCAGAGTTCTTAAGCAGACCAAGAGGTCTGCATTCACAGTGAGGCAAATGCAGAGTTCTTAAGCAGACCAAGAGGTCTTCGGTGTCCTGGAGTTGAGATAGAAAAACAAAAACAAAAACACACACAGGCCCAAGAACCAGAACCAAATGTCTCCTTTTATTGCAAAGCCAAACGCTTTTTTATTTCATCTATTTATACAGCATTTTCACTAAGGACTGTTCTCTGCCACAGGTGTGAGTACCCTGTTCCAGCCTTTAATAAATAGTCTTAAATAGCAAAACAAACAGGTCGAAGGAAAGAGAGCTCATCGTTCTGAACAAGGGATGAAGGGGGTTGAAAACGACTTTCAGATGGAAATAAATAATCTCTTCATTCTGTAACAACTATTTACATGTTTAAATGTACAGATGAGCCTGCGAACCAGAGGCTGGTCGGGTCATTAAGGGGTGAGAAAACTCGCACCACACACAAAAGGCCTACATCTGCCAACAAACAAAACAAAATGTAACAAAGACTCTTCTCCCAATTTCGAGGCAGAGTAGAGGCGGCAGCCCAAGCAGCTGAAGAGGAAAAAAAAAAGAGGAAATAAAAAATTAAGCCCCAAAGTTTCCAGGAACCAGCACAATCAAGATAGAGAGACAGTTCCCCCATGAGACAGGATCCCATAAGGACACACGACTAGCCTGGACAGTCCCGCTCTTCCTGTAGAGGCGGGACACATTTGCAGCCAGTCTTGCCCTCCCTAAGGCCTTGGGCTTGCAGATGGAGGCTGGTTGCACCCACACGTGGGACCCACCGGTCAAGGCCAGGGGCACTGTCATGGAGCGCCAGGTCAGAAACGTCTCCTCCAAGTCGGGATGCTTGGCTGGGATGTCACTCTCAACACAACTTCTGGAACCTTCTGTCTGTTTCCAGTCTAGCGCACCCTGCACCCATCAGACTTCCTACTCTGCTGCCTCCTCCTTACTTTAAGGGACAGATGCTTGCAAAGCCTCTAACAGGGTCTGCAGGTGATGGGACTGCTGTGGACGCCCCGCCAGAGTCCCGCTTCGGAAGGCTGGCACAGATGGAAAATACAGGGTCCTGGTGGAGGACCGGCCGTGCCCCACTCCCCCCGTTCCCATGACAACGAGGCTTCCGGGTGCTCCCCAACACCAAGGTCAGCTGCACTTCTTGATTCTGTTATGATTCCCCGTGAATTTTCTATCACAGGGTGGGGGTTGGGGAGGGTAGAAAGTCAGCCCGGGGGTCCAACACCTGTCCCAATTCCTGCTCCCACATGCCCAGCTGAGTGACACAACGCTCTTTGTCCTTCAAGGTCAACATACCGGGCTCCTCTGAGCAGATGTCATCTGCCTCCCCCGCACCAGACCTTGGATTCGGGCAAGTCTCATAAACACTGGGCCTCAGCTCGGCTCAGAATGAAACTGGAAGGGAATGGAGAGGCCCTCCCTGCTGCCCTCCACAGACACGGCTTCTGTGTTATGAATCAGAATAAACCAAGAAACGGGGATAAATTGTTTAGGAAAATATATCTGTCACATCCTAACCAATTTCATTCATTCGTTTTATTGTGACATTTATTACAGGAACTTCCGCATCGATTTCTTTCAGCACAGACACACCCGTGTCCAGCCCTCACCACGCCCCTTCCTCCCCGTGTCAGGGGGCCTGGCTTGGGGGTGGAAACAAGTCTGTGCACAGCTGAGACGTCACAGCCAATGACTCAGACCAGGCCATCTTCCTTCACATGCATCTTTCCCTGCTGGGCTGTGTAGGCTTGTAAGGTCTTGTCCGTTGGATGCGGCCGCCAAGAAACTGATCCAAAGCCGTCTGTGCTCAGATGCCTTAATTCGTGCACCTTGACAGTCGGGGAGGGGGAGGGAGAGGCCTTGAAAAAGGCAGCAGGTCTGCGGGCTCCCAGCCAAGGCAGTGGGTGGTGGAGGAACCAGAGTGTCTTGGCCAGAAGGCCTGGCTCCCAGGAGGCGCTAGTGGCAGCCGCAAGCCCGGACTACCATGTTTCTGTATTTCTTCAGGATGACGTTGGAGCTGTCGTCGAAGTAGAGGACAGAGATGGCGTTGAGCTGTGTGGGCGCGCAGCAGGGCTTGGGCACCGTCTCTGGGTTGATGAAATGGACCTGAAACATACACGAAGTGTCAGCGGTGGGGGGAGGCAGAGAGTCCCACTGCCTGGTCTCCGAATTTCCAGGGGGAACAGCCACGGCCCGGGCCAAATGACTGCAGGCCACGCCTGGTGAGCGCTCCCTGTGCTAAGCACCTATGGGTGTCACTCATTTGGGACCGCCCCAGTTTAACAGGCGAGGGAACAGAAGTACAGAGAGCTGGTAAGTAAGCAGTTGGAGCAGACACGTGGGGCCAGACCATCCCTTTTTGTAGGGATTGTTCTGTGTACCGTGGGATGCTGAAGAGCATCCCTGACCTCTACCCACTCCATGCTCCATCTCGCTCGTGGGCATCTGTGCACCTCACAGAGGATAAGGGCCGAGGGGCACTCAATGGCCTACAGGTACCACATGAGCACCACTGATGAGCAGAGGAGGCCAGGAAAAAGGCAGTAGGGAGTAGTGGAGACTGAGGCACCAAAGGGAGAGGCTGCCGCTTGGTCTGAGCTGACCAAAGCTAACCAAGACCAGTGCTAGCAGACGTGCCAGGAGTCCAAAGACTCGGCTGTCTTCTGCTTTGCCTTGAACGTGAAACTTCTAGGTTTCCATGTGTGCCAACAAGTGCATCAGTGCCTAACCCTCTGCTCAAAGTCCTGACCTCTGACCCCGACCAGCACGCTTTTTTGCATGCTTTATGACAGACACTGTCAAACCCTTACACGCCCACAGCCTTCCCCGCCTGCTCCACCTTGAGTGACTGTAAAGCATTTTCTCTGTGGGTGTCTTACTAGGACTCCCTAGAAGGCAGAGTCACCCCCTTTTAAGCATGGCTACATTGGCATCCTTCCACAACACCCAGAGGATCTGTCAGGGTCCTAGAGACCTCTGCTGAGGTGCTGACTGACGGGCAGGTGGGCTCCTGTTCGGAGGGCCATGGAGACAGGGGTTGGAGGAGCACTGAGAAGCATTCCTGGCAGCTGGGAGACACACCTGTCACCCCCCAGGGTCCCTAGAGCAGGACCTTACAGAGGACACCAGCATGGGGGGCCAGTCCAGGCCAAGGAGCAGGCTGAGGACAATGATTGCTTCCAGCCGAAGGACCTTCAACGCCAAATGGGGCTTCAGAGTTTCCAGTTGTCAGGGAGGGCGAGCCTTGGGAAACCCATGCTTAAAACAAAATCAGCCTCACTCTCAAAAGACAGAGCCTGGGCCAGTTGAGGAATAAATGAGTGTTATTTCCAGGACTTAACACAGAGGGCAGGGACTAGATGAAAGGCGAGGGGGTGACCCAGGGAGTAAGCTGTCACCAGGAGCACGCAAGCCAGCGTGGATGATCAGATGGCAGGAAGGACCAGACCACCTCTGTGGCAGGGAGCCGCATCACCAAGGTCCTTCAACCGCAGGCTCTAAACTCCCAAACAAAGTCGCTGACTCTCATCACTGCTGCTGCTGTTGGTATAGCAATAACAGCACCTACCGCGTGTCCCCGTGTGCTGGGTGCCTGCATCTCACCCTTCCACCTAACGCTCCCAGAGACCCCACAGGAGTTCAACTAGAGACAGCCCCACAGTAAGCCTCGCCTCTCTGGCACAGGGTCCTGCTGGCCACCTTTGAGAGGACTTGCCTCCCCTCGGGAATTTCTCCTCCGTTTACCCCTTTCCTTCCTGGAAAACGAAGCCCTGAGGCCAGGGGCATATCGTGTTGTCCCCACAGTGTCACCAGCTCCCAGGATCAGGGTCTACATGTAGTAGATGCCTTGAGTGCCTGAACCACGAAGTTCAAGGTCAGGAGAGGAAGGCAAGACCTGCGGCCCTGAGGCCCCCAAGCCTGCCTGTCCCGGGGAAGCCCAGGCGTTGGGGTCTGGAGCTGGGGTCAGGCTTGAGCAACTCAGTCTGAGCATAGGTACACCAATTACCACAACCGTGGTCCCCCAGGCAGAGGTGGGGCCAGGGCCTGCATGCTGTCAGACACAGAGGCGGGTCCCCACGGTACTTTTAGCGGCCCATGAAACTGTTTTAATGACTTTTTAAATGAGAAGAAATAAACGAATTTCAGGACCGAAGATTACATTCATCTTTATGCCAATGCAGTCATAAAATGTAATCTTTGATATAATATGTTGATATTCTGGGGTATTTTAGGGAGCCAAGGTCCCATGCGAGTCATGGCATCTACTCCGGCCACACCCCGCCCGCCGACCACGCCCAGAGCAGCACCCCACCCACCAGCGTCTGCACGATGGCGTGGTTGGTGGCGTTCATGTAGGAGTTCAGAGGGAAGGCGCACTCGCCCTCGCAGTAGTAGGCGGCGTAGCCCTCGGGCGCGATGATCCAGTCCTGCGGGAGGAGAGGCAGGGAGTGAGTGCCTGGGGAGGCTGCACTCCGGAACCACCGGAGAGCCGGGCCCAGCGTCCGGCCTCCATGCCGGCCAGACGCGTGTCCCAGTTACTCAGGAGGCCAAGGTGGGAGGATCGCCTGAGCCCGGGAGGGCCAAGCTGTGGTGAGCGATGATAGTCCATCGCACTCCAACCTGGACAACAGAGACCTCCTCTCTTAAAAGTAAAGATGAGGGAAAGACCCCATGGGCTGGCCAGGCCCAGAATGGCCACGACGGTGGCTGTCTCCCAGGCAGGAGACGGCAGAGCGAGGAGGTCCTAGGCATTAAGAACCCAGACCTGGTCTCACCTACACCAGCACTCGCTGGCCACACACGGGCAGTTTGCCTTAAGGAGGACCCCCGTGCCTCAGTGAGCCCACCTGCCCGAGAGGCTCCTAGCCCACACTAGCTTGGTGAGAACCCAGTGCCTGCTGCCCCATCAGGGACCCACGCGCCACGTTTGCCTCTAGGGACCGGGTGGCACGGAAATGTTGTTCAAGCCATCGACACACTCCCTGTGATTCTTTTTATTTTTTTGAGTTGAAGTCTCACTCTGTCGCCCAGGCTGGAGTGCAGTGGCACACTCACAGCCACCCTAGCGTTGATCTGTTGGGCTAGGGTGATCCTTCCGCCCCAGCCCTCCAAGTAGGCGGAACTACAGACATGGGCGACCGTGTCTGGCTAATTTTTGATTTATTGGAAAGAGGAGGTCTTTCCAAGTTGCCTGGGCTGGTCTTGAACCCACGGGCTCAGGTAGTCCACTCGTCTTGGCCTCCCAAAGTGTTGGGATTACAAGCTGAGCCACCGAGCCTGACCTCCACTGTGATGCTTAAGTGCGTGGAATCTTCCAGCAGAGGCCCCTGGAGTTTGTGGAGTCCCAGTAACAGAACACAAGCCCTGCCCAGCACCCTTAGAGCGTGAACATGGTCTCAGTCCCGCAGTCAGACTTCCGAGGAATCGGTCATCGGTCCTGAAGACAGACTCACAGGAGGGCCCTGCCGGTGTCTGGGGATACATACTCCCAGGGAAGACTCTGAACTCTTCCCTGAACGACAGGCTCCCTGAGGGCAGGTCAACCCCACCAGCTGCCCTCCTGGCCTCAAGACAATGCCCTGTGCTGGGATATTTGAGTTCCACGGGGCAGACACATTGCAATGTTCTGATGCATCTCTCATGCCCAGGACAGGGCCTGGAATGCCGCACAGAGCCTAGAACAGTTGCCATGTGCATGTCCCAGCAGGACTCGTGGGGGGACTTGGCAGATTGCACAGCTCCGGCTTCTTTTCTAGGGCTCCTCTCTACCCTGGCCTGGTCCCAGATAGGGCAGAGGGGAATACTGCTTCCTGGGCAGCCGGACTCCCACACACGCAGGGTGGGCACAGGGTGCCGTGGAGAATGGGGCTTGGATCCAAAGGGTCTGGGTTCTGGCTTGAGCCTCAGCCACACTTCTGCTCTAGGACATCATGAGATCCCTGCACCCTCCCCCGGTCAGACTTCTCGGTGCCAGGAGCCCTGAATGGCGGGGTGAGAAGTGTGACTCGCCACAGCGCAGACCCCTGCCCGGGACAGGCCCGCCTGGCCCCTCACCTGCCAGCCCAGGTCACGGAAGCTGACGTACAGTTCGTGCTTCCGACACGCCTGCCGCTGGTCGCCGCTGCTATTTTCTGTGTTGATGTGGAAGTGAGGACGCAGGACCCAGGGAGGAGAGAGAAACACACGTGAGTCCCTGTCTCGGGCAGTGGGGGGTGATGGGGGTGGGAGCCCCAAACGCAGACAGCCAGAGGGGGGATTTTCTAACCCAAAAGCCACTTTGAGGTCCTGTAGCCTAAAGACTCCTTTCTGCCCTAGCAAGGGAGATGCCCGGGCCCCATCCCCTCTCCTGGGCCATCAGCACTCACAGCACTCTGGATCCTTCTGCCTGTGTGGGCGTGTTTTATACACACGTGTGGCTGACATGCCGACATCTGCCCAGATTCCACAGGCAACTGAAGCCCACCCACAGCCCACCACAGCTGCAGGAGGTCTGCTTGAAACAGCCTAGACCTGGGGGGCTGGCCCACCCCGAGACACCCATGTCTCTGGAGGGGCAGGGAGTGATAGATTCTCCATCACCCCTCCCACCAAGTAGAAACGAGAGGGCGGAGAGTCATATCCCACTGACCTTCCAGAAAAACACGCTCCTGAGGGTTCTTTGAGGAGTGGAAATTATTCTTGGGGGTTTTCCCAAAGCACGTAAGTTTATAAGCATCTGGGTCAGGGACGGAGCACTTGTAAACACTGCAGAAATCCTTCTGTCTGCCTGTCTGTCTCCCACACGCACACACACTATAGTCTTCTTTTACCCCATAGCTACAGGGATTGATTTTTTCTTACTGACGACCTGACTTACCTGACCTAAAACTCTCCAGGTCTCTCCGTTATACTCAGAGCGGGACCATGGCCCAGCAGGCCCCATGTGGCTCTGACCCCTGAACAATCAGCCACCAGTCACACCAGCTCTGTGTCCACCCAGCTCATGACCACGCCAGGGCCTCTACACTTGCTGTCTCCCCTGTCTGGACTGCTCCTTCCTACAGTCTTTCTTGTGTCTGGCTCCTACTCGATGTTCAAGCCGTGGCTCTGATGTTATTTCCTCCAAGTGGCCTCGTGGAGTCACTGGTAAGTCCCCAAACCCTCATGTCCCCTGTGTTTGTGCAGTGGATACAAAGGCACTCAAGCAAAGGACAGGTCAGGGAGGTAGTGGAGGAAGAGGAGACATCCCACAGGATGGAGAGGGCAGCCCAGAAGGAGCCTAAGGCCCACCTCGCTCCCCTGGCCTGTGGTGGGAGATTCAGACACAGCCAGTCCCCATTACCCCTCCTTCCAAGGGACCTGGGGGTGGCCTCCTGGGGACTCTGGTGGGAAACCCAGGTCTGAATTCGGAAAAGTAGTTTTTAAAGACATACACGCCAACAGGAACATTACACTCAGTCAATTACAACAACTGCAAATATCTGTCCCCGAGAAACACAGATTCTGTGACGTGACCTCAGTGAAGGCTGGGGCAGGTGCTGGCCTCTGGGTGCTCAGGCCTCATGGCCTGTGAGCCTGGTATACTTGTTTGTTCGGTCATTCAAAGATTGACTTTTCAACCCGACGCCTCAGGGTTTCCAGGAGGGTGGAGGCAGCAGTGGAGTCCTGAGGCCCCTGTTTCAGCCCCAAAGCAGCAGAGCCAGGAGGGAGAGCCAGCCCTAGGCAGCAGGGTCCTCCCTTGGCCCTGGACGTCCTCCACATGCAAGGGTCAAGGTCAAGGAACCAGCAGGAAGAGCCCAAACAGCTCAACTACTCAGTCTGGAGTAGACGCTGAAAACCCTCAGGCAGCATCTGGCACGCCGCGCCAGTGCCCAGGGCCGCAGGCAGCAGCGCCCGACCACAGGTCTCTCTCCCCCATGGGGAGGCAGAAGGTGAGAGGGAGGGAGCAGTCCCTCAGCCCAGGGACATCAGGTGAAGCAGCTAGCTCAGGCCAGGGGCACTGTTGACTGCTTGGTGTGCCATGATTGATTCACAATGTCTGCCATGAGCAGAGGAGGGGCGAGTTATGGCCTAAGCGCCACTCTCCCCAGCCCTGCCTTAAAGTCAAGCAGTGGTACTTGGTGTCATGTTCAAACCCAAGGTCCAACAGACCACAGCTCACAAAGCTAGCTATGGCATGTGGGCAGGGGTAGGCAATGGCCCTGCTCTCCAGACCCCAGACACCTGCCCTGCACTTCATGGCTGCCCCGGGAGACGGAGGCCGGGACGCCTGGTATCCCTGTGACCCCTTCTACTCAGCAGGAAAACAAGACAGGAGCCAAGCAGAGACCCCAGTCCCGGCCCTCCAACCCTGTCCCAGCTGCCCCAGACACAAGAGGCCAGCAAGCAGGAGGTAGTACCGGTGCCAGGGCCGTGGACTCCTCCGCCCCCACAAGCCCGCCGGAGTAATCAACGGCCACGACGGCTCTTGGACCTTGCTCTTGCCCCCGCGGGTCATCTGGAGAAGGCGGCTGCCTGCCAAGGGGTGGGTCCACACGTCGTGGGGGGCGGAAGTGGAGGGAGGCAGGCTGGGGGCCCAGAGCCTCAACCCCAAACCGCACCATCTGAGGAGCAGCTGGACGCCCGGGGGGAAGCCTGGCCAGGTGGTGGCATGATGGGGCATGTCCTGCAGTCCACGGGGCCCTGCTGGAGAGGGCACAACTTGTGTGGCCCCACACGGACCCCTTGCCCAGCACGTGGCAGGGAGAGAATCAGACAGGCACAAATACATGGGTACACATGTACACACACACAACACACACACTGACACACATGAACACACTCATGTGCACACACATACTCAGATTCTGCCTCACTAAGCCCAGGGTGGGGCATGGGCCTCAGTAGACTGTTACCAGATTTCCAGGCAGGGCTTAGAGGGACTTACAGCAGGACAGGGAGGAGAGAGGCCCGGGACCAAGGCCGACTCCACGCACCAGGTTTCTGCCATGCAGGAGTGAGAGCCCGTCTGTCCACGTAAATGGATGGGGGGAGGGGGAATTGTTAGGGGTTGCAATGTTGAACTCCAACTGAGACTCCCCCCCCACACCTCTCCCCCAGTTCCTGGCAGGATGCCTGAACAGGCCACCTGATGGAGCCAAGACACAGGTGTCTCTGCTGGGCTGGTACCTGCCAGCACTTCCTGCCTGGCTGACTTGCAGAAACCTCAAGCACGCAGGACTCCGGGCTCAGATCCCCACCCACTCCCGTCTTTCTTAGAGCGGCAGGAAGGATCCTATCGCCACTAGTCGACACTCGGACCTGCTTGGGAGGAAGTTTCCATGTGCCTCCCCATTGCACCAGCCTCACTCACACCTCTTCCCTGCCAGCCACCACGGCCCCCTCCCCCTCTTCAATGTAGCAGGCCACCTCCCTGCCCAGCCTCTGCCCTGCAGGTCCCACTGCCCGGAGCACGCCCCCCCAGACCAGCCTCTGGGCGCCCGCTCAGCCCAGAGCCCCGGGCTCCCTTCCTGTGGGGAAGTCTGGTCTGTGCCCCTTGGAAAGGGTGGGTGCCCAGGCCTCTGCCTGACTGTGCCTGTTATAATTTACGGATGTGAGTGACAGCCACCTCCTGCCTGTGGGAATGAGCTCCCCAGGGCCCGGCCTGGAGGGGCCCCGAACACGAAAAAGGGACTCAGCAGGCCCTTGGCTGGGGGGTCAACGACCACACAAGCCCATGGGCTGACAGCTCTGCCTGCAGAAGGGGCCCACACGCTGTAGCCCCTGGAAGTCTCCTTGGGACCATGCATTCATTCACCTCTGTGTGTTCATCTTTGAATGGCTCACAACAAAAACGTTACCTTTATTTCTAAGTTCTTCTCTATAGTAAAGAAATATGGCAAACAAACCTAGAAGTGTCCCAAATAGTCTTTTTAAAACCTACCACCCGTATGAAGTTTGGCCATGAGTTTCCAATATGTTTCACCTTAGGAAAGAAAATTAAAGACTCAGCAAACTCTTCCCCCGCTTTCTCCTTCCTTGCCCTCTCCCCACCCTCCACCAAGGGTACCCCTCTGGAAGGCTTCTCCGCATGCCCTCACTGGTTTCCTTCATGGCTGTGGCCATTTTTGTCTACTTAGACAACTGGCATCATGTTCTAGGGATGTTTTGCTACTAGAATTTCTAAGTTGACCTGCAACTTGCACAGAATCAGGGTGGTGAGCTCTGTGCAGAGGGGTTGGGGGATTCACTCCCTGGGTTTGCTTTGAGCCCCCCAGTGAGCATGGACATGAACCCTCGTGCCCGCGTACCTGCCACGTTGGCCATCCGCAGGGCCTCTTGGTTCTTGGGCGTCTTGGAGCGGTTCTGGCTGCGCTGCTTGCTGCCCGCTGACCGGATGCTGCGGAAGTGGACCTCCGTGGCCTTGAAGAACGCCACCATGAAGGGTTGCTTGTTCTGTGGCCCGTGCCGCCCGATCAGGCCCGCCAACTTGGGGTTGATGCTCTGCCCTGGACGGGAAGCAGCCAAGCCACGGAAGAGGGTCACCAGGAGGTGGGAGCAGGCCAGGGCCACACGACACCGAGCCCCGCGATCTGCCCGCATTTGCCATTTCCTCTCCAGCGGGTGTCAGCTGAGCACCTGCTCTAGGGTGGCACAGTTTTAGGGGCTGGAGCCAGCTGGGAGCACGGCTGGGAAATCACCCAGTTCCCTGGACTTTCGTGCTGATGGGGATGGGGGAAACACACGGATACGTGCGTGTGCGTGTGCATGGGGCGGGGGGGGGAAGGCCCAGGTCCCGCCAAGTGCAGCCCACATTTCACTAGCCAAAGCAGGTCATGTGATCCACCGCATTTGGGTAGGGCAACCTCGCTCTGGGCTAAGAAGGGGCTGCAGCTGCAAATAGCCCTAGTGATATTGAAGGGCCACCTGGGCAGAGACCCCGGTAGCCACAAGCTAGGGAGCCACAGAGCTTTGGGGAAAGCGCTATCCCAGCAGAGGGAACCACAGAGGCAAGCTTGGAGGCGGGTGAGGAGGCCTGTTGCAGGGGCAGGGCCAGGTGGGACCCTGGGGAGGGGCCGCAGGGGCACGAGGCCGGCCAGTTCCTGCCGCATCAGCAGGCGCCTGCTCGCCTTGACACTGTGTGCGGAGCTGATTGGTGTCCCCCAAACTCATGTCCACCTGGAACCTCAGGACGTGACCTTGTCTGGAGATGGTGTCTGCAGATATGCTGTCATCAACTAAGGTGACACTGGATCAGGATGGGCCTCCGTATAATGACAGAAGGTCACATAAAGACACAGAGACTCAAACACACGCGTACAGAAGACAGTTCTGAGGACAGGCCAAGACATGCCAATGACTGCCAGGAGCCCCAGAGCTGGAAGAGGCCAGGAACAAGTCTTCCTTGGAGGTCCAGGAAGCATGACCCTGGGATACCTTGACGATGAACTTCAGCCTCCAGTCGGGAGGAGAAAGCCCTGCTTGTTTAAGCCACCTAGTGTGCAGACCCTGTCCACAGCAGCTCTAGGTGAGACCACAACACTCTGTGAGTGCCACCGAGGTGCAAGTGTCAGTTGTTCTTAAAAGACCAGGCAGGCAGGTGACAGCAGTCCAGCCTACAGAAGACCGATGCAGAGCAGGGGTGAGGCTGGTGAGAAGTGCCAGATCCTTGAGGGCTTTACAAATCCAGATTAACTCTCTGTTGTGAGATAATGACAGATTCACAGAAAGCTGCAGAAACAATCCATCAGGAGTTGGCCGTGCCTTTTACACGGTTTCCCCTAATGGGAACACCTCAAATAACTAGAACACAACCTCCAACAGAAACGTGTCAGACTGAATTCACTGAGGGATTGTACAAGGTGTGAGAAAGAGTCGTGAGACTGGCAAGCTCTCGGCCTAAGCCTTGGGAGAGGGTGGGGAAACTGAGGCAGGGGCTGGGTGTGGAGAATAAGTGGAGGTGTGGAGGTGGAAGGCGAAATGCAGTTTGGCTTAGCGGCACCCATAGGAAGCTGCCGGGCAGGCAGCAGACTGTCCCAGCATGAGCTTCATCCATCAGTTGATCGATCGATAGGAAGAGGTGAACTCTGGCCCACTGAGGGAGACAGCACGGCCCCGGCCAGACCTCCTGGGTTCCGAGTCCTGCCTTGGTCATGTGTTCAACAAGCAGATGTAGCTTGGAGAAGAACTCTGCACATCGTAAGTGCTCGGTACATGCTGGCTCAGGGCACCATTCTGGCTGGCGAGATAAACTTGGAGTCCTTGGCACAGAGGTGGGGCTTCAGGCCAGGAGACTGGAAGCTCACCTGGGAGAGCATGTCGCCAGATAAGTGACATGAAGGTTGAGCCCAGGTGCCCTCTCTTCCCGAGAGGCCAGGGCAACACGACAGAGATTGCACAGGGGTGCCCAGGAAGGAAGGATCCGGAAGGAGCTTGGAAGGGGGGCACCAGAGGGCAGGGGGGTCCCGGAAACTAGGGGAAGAGAGTGGCCTTGAAAGAGTGTCTTGTGTTCTGAGCTCTACCCCAGGGTCTGAGACGGGCTGTCTATCTCTTTGCTGACAACAAGGTGTCATATTGTGCTTGGTGATGAGTATTCCAGAAAAGAAAGAAGCATCCAACAGAAACAAAGCCTATCTTACTTATGACAGAGCAAGCTCAGAGAGGCTGAGTCACCTGTCTGAAAACACTTGGGAGTGACAGCAGAATTTGAACCCAGATCAGGCTGGCTGAGTCGGGACGTCTAGTGACTGCAGACACGATGGCCCCGAGTTAGGTGAGAAGGGTCACCGCCCAGCAAAAGCAATGGCTTCTGGAGGGCCCCAGCCCATCCACATCTGGAATTAACTTCACCTGGAGTCCCCCAGTCGGGCCAGAAGTCAAGAAACCCGGCCTCCCAGTGCCGGATCAGCACCAGGGGGCTTGCTCTGGTTTTTTAACAATGCACGTTTAAAGGAACATGTGTCCCCCTCCGCCACGACTGTGTCTTGGTCCCTTTTAACTTTCGGCCCTGCCACATTCTTGAGCAAGGTTTCCTCGAGTTCACCCATCTATAATTTGAATGATTCTATAAAAGAAACCATTAAAGCTGAGGCCCGAGGAACTGTGCTTCCCCCCTGGAAGGCTTTTAGGGCAAAATAAAAATGCCTACCCTGAAACCCTGAGACCGTTCCAGATACCTCACATCCAAGCCTGCTGCCGCTCTCCCTGCGCCTCCGAGTGAGGGCGTCTGGCTCGCCCTTGCGGCTGTCAGGACAACCGTGTCTGGGACCTCAACCTCAGCTGAGACGTGGTGGGGTGGAGGAGGGGAGAAGGTGCGCAAGGGAGCTTCAACTCAAACAGGCCACACCAGCCCGGGTGGGCCGAGGGAGGCGACATCGCACGCCGCAGCCTCAACTTTCTCGCCTGTAAAACGGGGATGATGCCAGTAGCCTCATCTTTTCTTGGCGACCAGTCCAGTGTCTGGCAGGGCCGTTGTGCCTTGAGCCTCAGAAGTGGGGCTTGTGGTTTAGTAAAAGGCAACTAATCCTTCGGCTACAGGGGTTAGTTCAGGGATGAGCACGTGACCCAGCTCAGCCAATGAATGAAAGAGAAGTATCCTGGCAGTTTCTAGGAAAGAAACTTCTCCGTACTCTGGCATCCAGAAGAATCCTTCTCTCCCTCTGTAGACAAGACTGAGGAAGAAAGATGGATGGAGTCCCAGAGACGGCCACTGTCTGGGGACGACAAGGAGACCGTATTTCCAAATGAGGCTGCCCTGTTAGAGAGTAGACAGCCCGGGTCTCTCATGATATTACTGGATCGAGCCAGTCCTGCAGCCCACATTCTCACCCCAGCTACCAAGATGATTAACCCCTTGATTGCTTAGTCTGAGCTGGTGGTATTCTGGGTTGTTCTTGACCCTCTCTTGACGACTTGAGGACAGGTAGCCCAGTGCCAGTTATCTTGAGCCTGGCCTGGAGCAGGCACTGTGATGGCGGGTCCAGATTCCTCCCCTCAGTCACGAAGTTTGGGAAAAGATTCAGGCTTCCAACCTAGAGGCCGGAAGGCAGCACAGCAGACCCTTCACCTTCAACAAAACACAAGGATACAGAAGATAGGCTGGCACCGCCTCACCATGGGGTCACATATAGTCCAACACTCTCACTCCTGAAAACCCGTGCACACAAAAACTCGTACACGTGCATCTGCAGCAGCATTATTTATAATAGCCAGAAAGTGGAATCAACCCAAGTGCCTATCAAATGAATGACTGGATAAACCCCCACACGCTGGAATATCATGTGGCAACAAGGAAGGCAGCTCTGATCCATGCTGCATGAACACACCTCGACAACGTTATGCCAAGTCAAAGAAGCCAGCCCCAGAAGTCGGACGGGATGACTCTGTCTATGCGAAATGTCCGGAACAGGTAAGTCCACCGCGAGTGTTCGCCTGGGACTGGGGGAGGGGAGCAGGGAGTGACTGCTGGTGGGCATTTCAGGTGATGGAAATGTTCTGGAATTGGACCATGGGTGGTTGCACAGCAATGTGAATATACTAAAAAAATCACTGAGCTGCACACTTTAAAATGGCGAGTTTTAGCTGGGCTCAGTGGCTCAGCCTGTAATCCTGCGCTTTGGGAGGCTGAGGTGAGTGGATTGCCTAAACCCCCGGGGTTCAAGACCCACCTGGGCAACTTGGCGAGACCCCATCTCTACAATAAATCAAAAAATTAGCCAGGCATAGTAGCGCGCGCCTGTAGCTCCAGCTACTTGAAAGTCTGAGCGGAAGGATCGCCGGAGCCCAGGTCGAGGCTGCGGTGGCTGGGAGCAGCCATTGCACTGCAGTCTGGGCGACAGAGTGAGACTCCAACTCAAATAAATAAATAAATAAAATAAAATAAGATGTCAAGTTTTATGTTAGCTGACTTAGATCTCAATTTTTAAAAATGTAAAAGCATACAGAGTCAGGAATGATCCCACACCAAACCCCAGAGGGACGGCTTTGTGAACAAACAGTAAGGATGCCCACACCTGCTCCCAGAATCCCTGGGTTCCTGAGGGCGATGGACTGCGGAGATGGATGCCCCCCTTGCCCACAGCCGCCTGGGGAGCCCGTCTTCACCTGTCCCGGAACGGACACCAGAGGCTTGCCATGAGGGGACCGAGGTTGAGCCATGAGGCCTTGGAGTAGGTCAGGGGCTCAGCCAGGATTCGAATCCTGCTCTATTGAAAATCAAAGCCCGTGTTCTCTGCCACCACAGCCGCGTGTCCTCATGCTGCAAACACGCCCAGGCCCTCCTGGGTTCACGGCCAGTGCTCCATGGGGGTCGAGGCTCCCCAACTCAGGGAACAGGAAAGCAAGGTCCCAGGTGTGAAGTCACCTCGCCAGGCCCTGTGGCTAAGGAGGGCAGAGTGGGAGGCCACACCCAGGCAAGAGGGCTCAAGCCCACGAGCTTCACCACTGCACCATCGGCCAAGGAGTTCAGGTGAGTGTTGGGAGGTGGGTATTGGGAGGAAGGACCCCTCCA